ATTTCGCAAACTATCTGTATCGTAGTTAACAATTTAATCAAAGGTTTAAAATTTGATTAAACTTCATTTCGTTGAATTGAAAGTGATTTTAACAGAAATATGATTGTTTAAACCCTAATTCAAATTCGAATAAGTTTTAATATACTTAAAATTATGCTTAAAATTTACAAAAATTGAGGGAATAAAAACAAACGCCAAGACTAACCCCGAACTTCGTTCCTTTTCCCTTCTCTTTCTTCGTCGCTCCAAAATATTCAACCTTTTGTAAAAATACCCTGCATATTTTGTCCTATATTCGATATAATTATTATCGAATACTTTTTGTGTCTACTTTATTTCGCAAACTATCTGTATCGTAGTTAACAATTTAATCAAATGTTTAAAATTTGATTAAACTTCATTTCGTTGAATTGAAAGTGATTTTAACAGAGATATGGTTATTTAAACTCTAATTCAAATTCGAATAAGTTTTAATATATTTAAATTATGCTTAAAATTTACAAAAATCGAGGAAATAAAATATAGCTACGAACTTGAACACGTAACTCTATTATTGGACAGTTTTATAACTTAATTAACTATGCAATACCGACAATTTTATTTTACTTTATTAAAATTTTTTACTTTAATTAAGAATATGTTAATATTCCTTTTTTGTTAGTATAAACAATGAGTTCTTCATGTTCTACGCATTTCTTTTCTTTAAAATACTAGAAACACGCGATTAAATAATGATCCATACTTTTTTCTTTTTTAAATACACAACTTTACAAATATTTTCTAAAGATGTTAAAGTATATGTAAGAATAATTACTTAATGATTCTTGTATATTTGTAAAAGTGAAAATTAACCCAGACATGAATGACTCATCGTATATGATAAAAGACAATAAATCGTATTAAAGAGTTAAAATATACACGTACGCGAAATATTTAAATTTTACAAGATGCCGGAATACTCTTCTCTACTCGAAAAAAATCTGAAACATAAAGATGGATATTTACATGTTACGGTATATTTGATATAAAATAAAAGGAAACCTTCTCAGTGTTTATTCTCTGTCTTACAGCGAATAAATCGCATCTTACAAACATACTATCGACATTTAACATTTACATTTATCCATTTACAGAGATGTAAAATATAAGATATGTACACGCTCCACATCTCATGCATAATGAATTTCTCTGTACAGCTTTTTCTCTCATTCCTTCCTCGATTATTAATATTGCATTGCAAAAAAGAAACGTGCTCTTTATTGAGCACGATCAACGATTTTTCACTCCAAGCAAATCAAGTTTTTTCCTCTTGGCGTTCGTTTTCGATGTCAGAGCTGGCAACACACAGCCCTTCGATTCAGGAATCAGAAGCCCTTTGTGTTCCAGCCGTCGAATATATGTGGTGTTTGGTATTACCGAGACGGGTCCGAAGTAACGCAATTCGCGTGGTCGGTTTATTTGCAGTTTATTCGCGGCATTCGTATTAACACGACGATCTTCTGGCGAATTTTCGCTTTCCATGGCTTCAGATTCCGTATTGTTATTCCGCCTCTCTTTGATCAACGTCATTTGCCATCTAAAAAGCGAAATTTAATTTATATTGTTATTTAAATATTTAAATTATATTATTAAAATAAATGCAAGTTATTTGTAATAAAAAAAAGAAATATAACGTAAAATCTAAATATGAAAAGAATATATCAAAGTAATCATAACTCTACAGTTTTATGTATTCTGAAGTTCTGTTAAAGTTTTTACAATATTTAATGACAATACTATATATATATATATATATATATATATATATATATATAATTGTTA